GGGGGGGGGGGGGGGGGCTATGGATGAAGTGTTGAGATACAAACTAATAGTGTTAACACCTACTCCTACTCCAAATCCTAAACCCAATCCTAGCGATAACCCTTACCCTAACCCTACTGTAGTGATAACCTTAATCCTAAACCTAGCCCCAACCCAGATCCAATCCCAACCATAACTCTGACAAGTATTGAGGTTTACCACCCTGTAGAAGGTGCGCGCCGATTTTATTTTCTTTGCATGGCATTGCCTGGCAAATTTACATTTTCATAATTTGCCCCATTTATCAGCCCCCCCCCCAAACCCCTCCTCGCCCTTCTTATCCATCGCCTTTCCCAACGCTGAAATCTACCCCCCCCCTCCCTTTGCGCGCGCGCGCGCACCGCTGCAGGAGGCGATTGCGAAGGAGCCGAGGTTTGGCCTCGACATGCTCAGCTGAAGGTTTGGGTCCGGTGGAGACCTGCTTGGGAGCGGACGTTAATCTAGAAACTTACTCAGGGTATCGCAGGCAGCAGGCAATAAAAAGGGCGAATTTGAGGCTGCTCAAGGCCCAGCCTCTTCGCAAATTACATACGAACAATGGTTAAATTGACTTAAATAACATGCGAAGGAGCGCCGACTTAAATCATATGCGATCAATCATGAGGCATAAGCAGCGCGCGCGCGGGGGGGGGGTAGGGGAGGGAGGGAGGGAGGAGGAGGGAAATGTACACTGTGGCGGCAGCAGCAGCTGCAGCAGCACTCAGCAGCAAAGAAATTCGCTCAATAATTCTATTGAATGTACATACCCCCAAAGCGCATCCAGAAAAGACCGTCTCGAGCCACACCCTTAGCACTACCAGGAGCAGGCAGTCGATCACCATACATCAGAAACCCAAAACAGGACTATCTAGTCCCACCATACACCACAAATCCGCAGCAGGCCCGTCAAACAAGCACGCATCAATCTCGGACAAGCCCGTAATATCCATACACGAAAATTACCCACGCACAATGCGCTCATCTACCAAACGGGCCTTTAAGACCATCCAGTCAACCACGCTGACACACCACTCGGGCGGCAAGAAACCCAAAACCAAATATGAGCCAGCAAACTCAAAGTTGCCAAAACACAATCATGAGCCAGCAACCCCGCGATTTCCCGCATCCCAAAGCTCTGCGCCCGAAGCCCACCCCCGGCAAGGAGTGGGATAGACTGGGCCAGCAGACAAGCCACGTATATTTGCGATTTCTGTCCCTCGGGGCTATAATCGTAATATATGTGATACAAGCTAGTGAAGAAGTAATGTTTTGTGAGTCGCGCAGGTGTGCCGCGCTCGCAGACGGTGCTGCATTTTCAGACGAAGCGAGGGAGAGTAGTGGAGGTCGGTCAGCGCGCCAATCGAGAGTCGTCAGTTGTCGATCGTCGTGTGTCTGAACTGATTAGCGGTGGGGACGGTATCTGTGTGCTCGGGGTGGATCCCTGGATCTGAGTGTTTTCCAACACTTAAATCTAGTGAGATCCTCTCGGGGACGGACGTTTAACTAAAAACTTACACACACGAGGGACCGCGAGGATTTGCCTCGACGTGCTGCTTTCAGCTGATGAAGGCAAGGCAGCTGCTACAGCAGCATCCGCGGAAAACGGGCGCATATTAATTTATTTATTTCTCTCGGGTCCTCTCATCGTCGTCGGTTCAAAATGCAGTGATGATGACGCTATATTGAGTATCACTTGCAAGGATATATATAGTTAATGATGATCTCCGTCAATAACTAATTGTTCACTGGTAGTTACTTAATGATAGCTTAACGCTGCAGATATCATGAAAGCCACCTCGGCCTCAACGCCTTTGCGGGTGTGTTGAAGCGGGTCACATACGAACTAACTAAGCTTAATCTTAGTTTAATACTTATTATATATACTAAAAATTCATAAATGATATTATGCGAAGGTAATTCTGGTTAATAAATTATCCGAATATATCGTGATTGCGCGAGGCGCTACACGGCTAGAGCCCTGACTCTGAGCCTTTTCAATAAGTTGTCGGCACGCTACAGTCGACGAACCGCGCGGCGAGGACCTAGGGTCACTGCACACCACCATGGACGGGACGATATGTGGATAGCCATGAATCAATCAGATTGACGATGCGGCCTCCCGTTGGTCCATTATGATTTCTTGAAATTACTATAAAAAAAAACCCAGAAATTTCAGCATGGGAGCCGAATTTTGGGCATGTGGGCGCACGTGCCAGCAGCTTGCCAGCGCGTCGACGTGGACCTGCTTTAAACGGAGGTCGGGCTCGGCGTGGTGTGTGGAGTCGCCTAGACACCCCCAGATGTGTTTGGCTCACCCCTGGTGCAGCCCAGAGCGCCCTCTGACACGCACCTATCGGTACCTCCTGAGATTTTCCGATTGGATATAACTAGGAATTTTTATTTATCTAAGGTCAGTATTTAATTAGTAACATTTAAGTAGTTATTGAGGGTGCTCTGATGGCTAGGCCGAGGCGTTAATTTGCCTCTTGAGACCCTACCTTCCAAGGCTTAGATCTAGAGCACGAAATGGAGACCAATGGCAGCAGTGTGCAGTGCACTCATCTTATTTTGATTCTTATTAAATAAGTTTGGATAGGATCCGTTTCAGGGGTCTACCCGTTAAATAATACATATATATATTAAAAGTGGTGGCTCACAGCAGTGTGCGACAGGCTAGACTCGCGCATTTTAATAATACGTAGTTAATCGTTTCAGGACTGGGGTCGAAATCCGAATGAGTGGCGCGATTCTGCACTGGGGCTAGGGGAAAAAGTGGTGGCCTGGACGAAGAAGTAGACATTGGTCACCCCTGCGCGCTAAGTGTCGATAGCTGATGTCGAATAGAGCCCTCCTCGACGGTTGGAGCCCACCTCGTGTGCCTCTTAGGTCGACAACATACTAAAGGTAACTAACACAGCGTTCGGAAGCGAAAAGAAAGTCATAGTTCCCGAAGTGGTACACAAAAGTTAGTTGCAGATTCGTGAATAGGGCTGCCGGCGCCCCATTCACGAATCTGCAACTAATTTTTGTGTACCATCTCCAGTTCGTGAGTTGCTCCAGAGGATTTTCACCGGATTTCGTTGCAATTTTCCCCAGGACTAGCCACTAATTCGGATTTCGACCCACTGGCCTGGCCCTGAGTGGAGTCTGTACATCGCATGACACGTCGACAAACCCGTCAAGTGGGTATGCTGTGCATGCGCGTGTGCCTTTCGAGGGCGCCCGTCTGACTGGCCCTGTAGCCGCATCCTGGCTCGTCGTACGCGTACGGCCGCTCGCCGCTGTGCGTGCGCTTGTGCGCCGTGAGGACGCCCGCCTCGCTGACCCTGTAACCGCAGCCAGGCTCGTCTCACGCGTAAGGCCGCTCGCCGCTGTGCGTGCGCTTGTGCGTCGTGAGGCTGCCCGCAGTAGTGGTCCTGTAGCCACAACCGGGCTCGTCGCACGCAAACGGCCGCTCGCCGCTGTGCGTGCGCTTGTGCGTCGTGAGGTGGCCCGCCTCACTGTCCCTGTAGCAGCAGCCGGGCTCGTCGCACGCGTACGGCCGCTCGCCGCTGTGCGTGCGCTTGTGCCTCTCGAGGTTGCTCGACTGAGTGGCCTTGTAGCCGCAGCCGGGCTCGTCGCACACGTGCGGCCGCTCGCCGCTGTGCGTGCGCTTGTGCCTCTCGAGGACCCCCGTCTGAGTGGTCCTGTAGCCGCAGCCGGGTTCGTCGTAAGCGAACGGCCGCTCGCCGCTGTGCGTGGGCTTGTGAATCGTGAGGTTTCCCGCAGTAATGGCCCCGAAGCCGCAGCCGGGTTCGTCACACGCGAATGGCCGATCGCTGCTGTGCGTGCGCTTGTGCCTCTCAAGGCCGCTTCACGCGAACGGCCGCTCGCCGCTGTGCGTGCGCTTGTGTGTCGTGAGGTTGCCCGCAGTAGTGGCCCTGAAGCCGCACCCGGGCTTGTCGCAAGCGAA